TAAAATGGGTCTCCGGTTCTCTACACTCACCATACGAAACACAGCAGCATTAAGCTGCTATTTTACGCTGGTATTCTGTGAGAGCGTGGTCCTTCCTCGGTCGAGCCGACCCATGCGTGCTACAACTATACTATTAATATAGCTATAGCATGGCTCTACCACGTCTATATAGATAAGATAGGTCGAATCTGTATGTAACAGTCAGTACAAATAAAGGAAGGTAGAACTAAACGCACTAATTTTATTTTATACTCGAATTACAATTTCGGCGGAGTTTCGTTTTATTACGAGCGGTAGTGTGATCACTCCCCGAAATTGAGCTTGTAAGAAACTATATAGCACTACCCCACACCAGAGACATCCGGTGGTTAGAGTGGTGGCTTCCGCTTGGCTTGGCTAGGATTGGCTGGCTTGAATGGTGCGTTGTGATTGGCTGTGGCGGTGTGGCGTAACATTCGGCCGTCCTGAAACAACAATTGCTCCCGCAATGAGAGAAAGCTTGGTTAACTTTCTAGCAGGTCAATAAGGTCTTCGGTTTCCAGTTGTTCATCGGAACTGCTGGCAATGTCAGATATAGGAACCGTACTGTGATAGGGCCTCAAGGAGTCCGCTGCAACAAGGCCTGTGAAGGTCCTGTAGCCTCGGAGTCCCTTAATACTTCTGATCCTATATCTGTCATTGCCCAACACCTTGATTACGATATATGGACCCGAGAAGACGTCATCAAGTTTAGTGTTTACCCTTGAAGTACTGCTTGTTGATGCTTGCCGCCAAAGAACTAAATCCCCTTTTTTATAGAGACTGCTTGTTTTGCGTTTCTTGTCAAAGTTACGTTTCATTCTATCACTCGCTAGTTTTAACTGTTTGCTAGCTTTGTTACGCCTAACGTTCACTGGCTCACTAACACTTTCATTGCTAACGATGTCACATCGTGGCCTGGAGCTTTTGGAAAACATCAAATCGTAAGGTCTGTAGGTTGTACTTTCATTCGCGGTATTATTAATGCCCCATAGAATATCAGGTAAGCTGTTCGCCCAGTTATTTGCAGCCTTGCTAGCATCAGTGGCACGCAAGGCATTCAATATGGTACGGGTAGTGCGTTCCACTTGACCATTCGCTCGCGGGCATGCGACGGAGGTTAAGATATGCCTAAACTGTTTATCAGATGAGAACTTTTTGAAGTATCTACTGGTAAAAGCCTTCCCGCGGTCACTTACAAGTTTATCGGGGTATCCGAATAAGCTGAATATTTTTCTGAGTGTTCTAATAGTTTCCACCGAATTGACTGTTCGAGTTGGCTCAGCAATAACAAATTTACAAAAGGAATCTGTTATAACCAGCATATACTGATAGCCTTTAGCTGTCTTGCAAAAGGGGCCCAAGTGGTCGACATGAATCATGATTATGGGCTCTGTGGGTTTGGAAATAGGGAACAATTTTCCTTCTTTCTTTCCATGATCACTCTTAAGCACAATGAAGGCAAGCAGTAACAAACTTTCGAATAAAGCGAGCCATTTTTGGAAACCAGTAGTCTTTTTTTATTAAGTCTATACACTTTTGGAAACCCACATGTCCTATGTCATCATGGTGCATCTGGACTTGCCTCCATCGAGCTAATGCTGGCACTACGAGACGATTACCATGCAATGTCTTTTTATACAATCTATCATCTGAGAATACATAACTATTGGTTATTTCAGTGGTGGCTGAGCCATCCCTAAGCTGATCAATGATTCGCTTCAACTTGTCATCCAGATACTGGACAGTATAAAACCAGTCCGACACTTCAAGGCGATTCACATTCACAGTATCGATTGGGTTCCTACTTAACGCGTCTACATGTTTCATTATCTCCGGGTCTATACAGTACCGTCTTTACCATAATGGCACACGGGGCCCGTGCCCAGGGCCCCTATCGTCATAGGGGCCCCGAAAGGCCGATATATTCGCTTATACTACACAATCTTTTTTCAATTTTAGGAAAATATAACCCGACTAAAATTTTATAGAGTAAGTGAGGGCGTTTTAGTCACTTTCTGGTAACCATGAGCAGTGACAAGTCACAAATTGCCGAGTTTGACAGAAAACGTAGCATTGACAGATATCCAAGGTAGAAAATATGTATTTCCATGTTTCGCCACCATCTAAACGTTTTTGTCGAGCTGTACAATGGCCTTACTTTAGCCGGGTATTTTTTTAAATTCGACAATCTATGTATTTATATAATTACAGGTAAATAAATGTGTAATTTTAATCGGACACCAGAATAGGTGTCCGATTATTTAATCTTTTTCTAAATATTGAACATTTTAATAATTATTTTGATACAAGAATGTTCCTTTGCTTAATGGTTACCAATAATTGTAATAGAGAGCGATCATTTGCACACCTAAAGAGAATAAATAATTTTAAATTAAAAATTTTGTACAACCGACTTCAATATAAATTATTAAGAATAACTCAAAAACGATTTGTCAGACCTTGATCAAATTTTTATGGGACCGCATGAGAAGCGCCAACTTTATATCAAAAAAAGAATCATCGAAATCGGTTCACCCAGAAAAAAGTTATGAGATAACACACAAAAAAACATGCTTTCGATTTGAGTACCTCCTCCTTTTTGAAGTTGATAGAAATTAGAAGATTTTGCACTACCGAAATCCAAAAGAAACCACTGTCGTAATGGTTACCAATTCAAACCACCAGCATACTTATCTAATTAATAACATATTATTTGATTTTTACCAATTAACTATAATAAATGTAAGATCAGCAGAAAAATGCTTTTGTCATTCACTTTTTTTTTACTTTCCAACTGGGGCCCAAATACTCGTGTGCCCAAGGGCCCCGGTATGGCCTAAGACGGCGTTGGGTCTATATTCTACACTCATATCAAAATCTTGGATTGACAGCCACCACCTGGCTATACGCGGGATAATGTCACGTTTAGTTAAGGTGGCACGAAAAGCCGTACAGTCATTCACGATCTTGACATATTTGCCTACGATGTACACCCTAAATCGACGCAACGATTCGACTACTGCAAGAGTTTTAAGCTCGTAGCTATGATACATGCTTTCTTCTTTACTCGTTACCCTACTGAAATACATAACGGGACGTAATGAATTATCAGTTTGTTTTTGCAACAAAATGCCTGCGATACCTGATTTGCATGCATCCGTGTGAATCTCCGTCGGTAATGCAGGGTCGTATAGAGCTAGTATGGGCTTTGTACACAAACACTGTTTTAATTGTTCAAAACTATTAGATTGTTCACGGCCCCAATTCCAAGCCGCGTTTTTCTTTGTTAAATCGGTCAATGGGCGGGCAATAATTGCGAAATTTTTAATAAATTTACGGAAATAACTACATAACCCAATAAATTAACGTATCTCGTGAACGTTACTAGGAGTGGGTAACTGTGACACTGCTGCCAAATTAGATTCACCAGGTTGAATGCCACTCGGTGTAATTTCATGTCCTAAGTACGTGATTTTATTTTGTAAAAATTAACACTTACTCATGTTTAGTTTTAAGTTTTCTAATCTTAATTTATTATTCGTATTAATAACTAACGAATTTCGTAATGAATCTACGATTTTGTTTATAAGTCGCATAAAAACTGATGGTGCATTAGCCAGGCCAAATGGGACACGTGTATATTCAAAGTGCCCTTGTGGTGTGATAAAAACGGTTTTGTGTATGTCTTCAGGATCAATTTTAACCTGATGGTAACTTTGTGCTAAATCAAGACTTGTGAAGAAATTCTTGCCGGCTAACTTTGAAACCTGATCATCGATATTGGGCAACGGATACCTATCTTTGACTGTAATAGCATTAAGTGCTCGATAGTCGACACAGAGCCTACTATCGCCGTTCTTTTTCTTTACAATGATAACTGGAGAAGCAAAACATGACTCGGACTCTCGGATTATACCTGCGTCTAATAATTCAGAGACTTTAGACCTAACTATCTCCTGCTCACTATGTGACAAGCAGTAGGGTTGGCGGTATATAGGTTGTTCAGTTGTCAATTTTATTTTCATTTTTAACAAATCTGTACATCCCAAGTCTTTTGTTTTATTCGCAAAACAGTCACTGTAATTAGTCAATAAAGTAATTAAACTATCATGATCGTTTTTATTTAATGGACCCGACTTAATATCTTCTATGTTTATTTCCCCAATAGTGCTAACGTTTGCTAGGCTAGTGTGCAACAGAGATGCTATAGAGTTGCTATAATAATCATTATTGGCTTTGGCTATGGAAGTCGATGGCAAAGTGTAATTTTGAGGGCTAACCTGAACTTCTGGTTGCTGTGCGGTGACGCAGCTATCTGCTCCGGTCAGCACCTCGCCTTGCTCCCAGATGATGTTTTGAGCTCCATTGTTGATGACTTTGATGTACCCGACGGTGCCCCGTAGTAGAGTGGCAGGAATTGAGTACGAAACACCTCGTAGCTCATAATGTTGTGGCGTAGTGACGACACGGTTATCTTCATCATTATCTATCACGTTAACTCTGATGATGGAAAGTCCAGGCAATAGACACTTTTTCTGTAGTGACGTCCTTAAAGCGAGCACGCTCTTCAATCACATCCATTTGCCTTGTAAAGTCGATATCTTGTTTGAGAGTGGCTTTTCCTTCCCTGACCTCTAAGGCCATTCCGTCGCTGTTGATGATGGGCTGTCCAACCAAAAGATGGATGTTCCCCATATCCACGTCTGTTAAATGAGCCTTGCACGGGATATGTATACGATCGATTTCTAGTTTAAAACCTACCTCTCCGCAGCTGGGTAGATGTTCTCCAGAGAATCCCTTTAGGATGGTGCTGGTCGGGCTGATTTTGAGATCCAATAGTCTCGACACGTGGGTAGATAATAAATTTACTTGGCTGCCGGTATCAGTATAAGATTTAACGTTGAATGCCATTGATTTTTACCGCTTTTTCGTAAATCTTGTTGTGATTTTGTAAAAGTTTAATTTCTTTTACTTTATCATCAGCCAGTGGCGAAGGTTTCGGAGTGATTCCGCAGCGCGTAGCAATGTGCACATTTAAAGCATGTTCGTGAATCTGGATATGGGCAGTTACGTAATATGTGGCCGGTCTTCTTACAGCGCGGACACGGGTCAATGTCAGGGTTAATAGGCGTGTATTTTTTATCAATTACCTGTCGATCGTAAGCATCTTTATTTTGCACACGTGTTCTAATTGACGTTGACGGCGGTTGATAATCATCCAGCGCACAGAGAAACCCTTCATATAATTCTTCGGCATGCTCGCACTGAAATGCTCTCGCATTCACTTGAAGTGATGATGGTAGACCACGAATGATGCAGGAGACTGTTGCGCTGTCAGACAACTTACACCGGAAGCACATGGCCACTTTGTCTTGGTAGTATTTCGCTATCGATTCCGTTGGTAGTTTCTTTTTGCTCATCATCTCTTCTAACATGTTCCCGAAATCGTGATGTTTGGGAAAAGCACGCGTCAGCATCTGCTTCCATTCTTGCCAGGAATAATTGTACTCATCAAGCCGATTGTACCATCGTCTGGCTTGACCTCTTAGTCTATGCTGCAAGTAAAACGACTTTGTAGTTCCGCTCCAGCCGTGAATTTCGCCTAGTTGATCTATTTTTTTGAGCCACGCTGTTGCGGTACTACATACTTCACTATCGGGGTCAAATTCTGGAATAAGTGAGGCTGTACGGTGTTCTTTTCTTGTAGTTACGGAGGGTAATTCTTCGTCTAGCTCTTGCATTAGTAGTGTAGTTGTACCACTTCTAGACCACCTGAGTCAGACGTGGTTCAACGACGTTCGTCGACGCCCGATCCTAAAAAAAAAAAAAAAAAAAAGAAAAAAAAAAAAAAAGGTTTTGGCATGCTCTGATCACGAATCCGCGGTCCATTTTTGTGTAGAATGCACGGTTCCGGAGATGTGTAGATCAATTAGCTAATATCTAATTGATATCCGGTAAGGGCCTCCACCGTCATTAGCGTCCCATTGTTGTTCCTATTTCTATTGTTCTATTGTTCCTTAATCACCTTCATTGCAGCGTGTGCGTCGACTATATCAGTGCTATTGTTTATTATAATTCTTTGTTTCTTCGTGGCAAATCACAAGCACCCATGCACACCTCCGCAGCTTCGGCTTATTGGTCGCCTTCGTCAGCTTCTACGGTTCACAAGGATGCCTGCGTTTTGCCACAGCGGGCGGGGACTCCACTCCCTCCGCGCCTACGGCTTTACAAAACACTCTAGGGATAGGACAGACACGACTACGTGAAGTCGGGGCGTTCTGATTTGGTTTTAGTACATGTTACGCCACACCGCCACAGCCAATCACAGCGCACCATTCAAGCCAGCCAATCCTAGCCAAGCCGAGTAGAAGCCACCACTCTAACCACCGGATGTCTCTGGTGTGGGGTAGTGCTATATAGTTTATATAGTTTCTTACAAGCTCAATTTTGGGGAGTGATCACACTACCGCTCGTAATAAAACGAAACTCTGCCGAAATTGTAATTCGAGTATAAAATAAAATTAGTGCGTTTAGTTCTACCTTCTTTTATTTGTACTGACTGTTACATCTCAGAAGTGGGAACTATGAAGCGTCATCACGTCGGAATGCCAAGAAAAGGCCATAAAGTCTGCCCTCAAGAGTCGAGCGAATCACCATGTGAAGATTCATCCGAAATAAGCGACACTGAAGACGAGGTCACACCACCAGACACTCCTCCGGCCCGGAAAATCCTTAGAAGACTATCGGAAACCGAAGTACAAAAGGCAATGCAAGTAGTGTAGTTGTACCAGAGTCAGACGTGGTTCAACGACGTTCGTCGACGCCCGATCCTAAAAAAAAAAAAAAAAAAAAAAAAAAAAAAGGTTTTGGCATGCTCTGATCACGAATCCGCGGTCCATTTTTGTGTAGAATGCACGGTTCCGGAGATGTGTAGATCAATTAGCTAATATCTAATTGATATCCGGTAAGGGCCTCCACCGTCATTAGCGTCCCATTGTTGTTCCTATTTCTATTGTTCTATTGTTCCTTAATCACCTTCATTGCAGCGTGTGCGTCGACTATATCAGTGCTATTGTTTATTATAATTCTTTGTTTATACAACGCTAATCTGAATCATCAATAAAACACATTACATAATTTTGTTACAATTTTTATTTATAAAATACAAAATCTTATTAATTATTGTCTATAAAATAGGAGCGAAACATCTCATCCACTAAAATATCGTTGTACAATGTGTTCCTTGTAAATATACTCGTAAAACTATGTATTGAACATCCTTGAAACTTATATAGTAAATACATTAAGCAATATTCGCCACAAACTGAAGTCCACTCATTCTGAATCCTATCAACATTCCAGTTCCATCTTTTACAATTCCTTTTTAAAAACTCTAGATGATATCGTACAGGTGATCGTCCATATGAATCAAAATATTGACCGACGTCATTCGTATCGATATATAAAGCTACCCAATGTGACCCTGGTTTATCATCTGTATCCAAATTACATATTATATACGTTGGTACGTGGGTATACATAGGCAGTCTATTAGCTGCATAAACATTATTTTCTAGACTGGGGTGAATCTTTTTCAGATGTTGTTGTACATCTAGTGTATCCATGATATTACTGCTATTAGTAGATTATTACAGTACCTAGCTACTCAATGAATAACATAGGAATGGTCAATTATAGTGATTTCTACATATTAAATTGCATTTTTGTGATATACAAATCGTACTTGAGTCATTGATCACCAAACAAAACACAATACGAAGAAATGTTGAGATAGGCAACGGAAATGTGAGATAAACTGATATGTTTCTAAATATTAAATTGCATTTTTGTGTTATACAAATCGTACTTGAGTCATTGATCACCAAACAAAACACAATACGAAGAAATGTTGAGATAGGCAACGGAAATGTGAGATAAACTGGTTGACGCATAAAGTAATTATCAACTCATTACGGAAATACTTTAGATTAGAATTTTTACGTACTGGTGGTATATAAGACCAACAAACGCAGTCATCGAGTTAGTGTACGGTCGTTTGGCTACAGTGGATCTATCAATAGTACATTTGTGTTACTTCAATACACCAAAGGCTATGGATGTAAGTGTTTATTCTATTGACTAAATTACTTTTTTTCTGTTATTTTCATGTGTGTGTATTATTTTATTTAAATATTGTGTATGTATATGATTAAGCCGTGGTAACTCAGATGGTTAGCGCTAGCTGTAAATTTCACAGTACGCGACCCGGGTTCGATCCCCGCCAGCACCAATTAAATTGTTAATAGCAATTTTAAGTGCTTATTACCACGTGCTTGGTGGTGAAGGAAAACATCGTGAGGAAACCTGCATGTCTGAGAAAATTTCGAAGGCATGTGAAGTTCGCCAACACACATTGAGGGAGCGCGGCGGACATTTCCTTGCTCTAAAACCCTCTCAGAAATGAAAGGAGGCCTATGTTCAGCAGTGGACTTTAATAGGCTGTAACTTTAACTTTTTTAACTTTTATGATTAAGTGTTAACAAATTGATATTAACATGATAACTGTGTTGTTGCAGAAATCATTGAGCTTCGATGAAGATACCTATAAACAGTATTACTACTCGCCACTCTCCCCTCAAGAAGAGAGTGATAACCTCGTCATTAATAATAACACATGCGATGGTGGAAAAAGAAAATCGCAATCGATTGATCATTTTTTTGAAGCTGAATCAAAAATAAAAAAGAGGAAGCTGTTATCATCAACCGTAGCACGAGCCGCTAGAGATGGTGTATCATACATTTCTACTAATTCTGACGACGGAGACCAAGCGACGCATCTCATCAAAATTGAAATGTACGATATGAAGAAGCTATCCAAGATTCCAACTACTGATCATTGGAAACATGCTTCCACTAGAATTAAATATTACGTAAAGACTAATAAGGATAGCATCTACGACAACACAAACGCCCTCGTATACAATATAACAAAGACAATAGCAGAAAGTGAAAAAGTTAAAAAATACTTTTTTAACAATGACAGTCATTAGCTGATCATTAGTGAATGTGATTCTGTTTGCTTCAATTACAGGAAGACAAGAGCGGAAGGAAGAGATGAGTGTGGCATACGTGTACAAAACACATCATTGAATAACAAAACTACAACACTGAGTGGAGAAGAAAACGAGAAGAGTATGCAGTACTCAAGAGCTGAATATCCATTCTTCAGTTCAAAATCTAGCCGTTTGCTTAGTTTCGAAAACTGGCCTCTAGTTATGCGACAGAAACCTGAAGATCTTGCAGAAGCTGGTTTCTTTTATACTGGCCATGCAGACGGGACCAAGTGTTTCCATTGTGGTGGTGGTTTAAAAGATTGGGAAGATGATGATGATCCTTGGCAGCAGCATGTTCAGTGGTTTAGTCAGTGTGCTTATGTAAAATTTCAACTCGAACAGTGTTTTGTATTAGATTAAATAGAAGATTTATAAAGAAATAAAAAAAAAATATATTGCATACAATTTGTTTTATTTAATTTTATAACGTTTCACATAGTTACATACACACAAAATGCATTACACATAACACATAAAATCTAACACACAACACATATTATAACCTTAACTACTATAGTCTACAGTAACATTTCTGTTTTTATCTATCTCAATAATATTATCAAACTCAGCATAAACTATACAGTTAATTGTTTGTATTAATGAGGATTCAAATCGTACTTCTATTCTTACACTACCATGCTTTATGAGATTCCAATGAGTTGATGAGTTAGCTGATAAATCAGGAGTTAAGTCAAATGCTAATAGACAGTAACCTTTGCCATACTGTTCACAAGAGATTAAATTTCCTTCATTAAGAAAGTGAATACCAGTTCCCGAGAATAGAGTATGATATGCTGATGTAAATATGCTATTATTAAAAGATGGTTGCAAAGCTTTTGAAGGTATTTGTTGACCATCAATATATAAGCTGAAAGAATTAATACCATAGTTTTCAAAGTTAAATGGATTTTTAGTAAGGGAACCATTAAATGCAGAATTGTTCACAAATCCAATTATACATCTTTTCGGTACCTGTCCTAAAAATATATTATCAAGAGTTTTTCCTTGAACACCCGAAGGAATTGTTAAAACTTTTACTTCAGCTCGAGTAATAGGATATTTAGCAGTGGTAGAAGCTAAAACTTTTTGATGTGCGAGTAATACACTTGGATTAATTCGTGCTCGTCGAACAATAAGAGTTGCGTCCGTAATACAAACTTTAAACTTTACATCGTTTGATCCAACAATTAAATTAAAACTCTCTCTTGATCGAACCAATTTAACACTCATTTCAACACCATTAATTAAAAATTTATCTTGGTTAAAAATGTCACCGTGAAGATGACCAATCATTTCTATTTCCTTACTTTCACTAATCAATTCCTGTCTTTTAACAAATCCTATGTTTTTACCATCTGTAGAATCCATTTTTCCTGCTGTATCCTCATACCAAAGACTACAAGTAAGATGAGATTGTTTAGCAGCAGGGGCATAGTTTAAAAGGGTTTCCATGTATGCTCGATATGCATAGGTATTATTAGGTGGTGATACAAGTTTTTGGTTTAAATAAACATCAAGTTGACTAAAAAGTGAATGCAACCAATTATTTACAGGTGCTACTATTGTAGTAGATACCAAGTTAGTTGAATCTTGATTTAATACTTTTGCCTTTATGTGGAGTAATGTAT